TTTCTTTACCAAAATAATCTCCTTGGGATCTGCACCAGTAACCTCCTTAGGTCGCGTTCGTTCCACTTGAGTCACCATCTTTTCAGTTCAAAATGTAATGTTGCAGATCACTAGATCAAGGTCATCATTTTGCGCCTACTCACAGCAGCATCTCTAAATCTTGAACAAAATGATCAGAGTACATGTCAGAAACAGCTTTAGTAATAGCAAAATCAGCAGAAAGTCTTACAGGAGAAAAAATGTAGAAATTTTTTGATGATAAATGTAGAACTCCTAGCCTTCTCCATGGGTTTAAATACTGGATCATTCTACCAATAAGGGGAAAAAAAAGGTATTTTATGTGGAAATGTTTACACCAAATACAAAGATAGTTGGACAAGGGGGATATGTTTGGGATTTTCATCTGCTTCTGAAGCAATTTTCACTTTATTTATATGAGAAGTCCCTCATTTATATCTGGCTAAAATAAATACATAGCATTCATAGTCTCAGACAATCTTCATTACTTCATGTAGCCAATGTCAGCTTGTTCAGTTTCTAGGTATTTCTGTTTGACTTAAAATATTGGGTTGCAAATAATATTGCTATTTAAATATTATTTTTCATTCAATGACCTTGCTGTATCATTAGTCTTTAGTCATCAAGAATGCAAAAAAGTGAGAGTGTCAGTCAGGTTTCTATAAAAATCTTGATTTATAAGTCATTAGCATGGAACTGAAATATGCTTAATTTTAGAAATAGACAAAGTTTAAAAGAAAATTAGTGGAACATTTGAAGGATTTTACCAAAACAATCTCACAAATTCATGTGCTTAAAAATGGCAACAAAAACAAAGAAATAGAAATTTGTATTTAGTGCAATGGTGCACTGCTCTGTAGATAAAGGTGAAATTGTGAGAACTAGTACCTTAATGTTTCATCAGAAACATGGAGTGGTAGGATCATCTTCATCCCTGCTGCATACACAGAGGAATTGTCAGCAGCAGCTGGACATTAATGCAAAATTAACCTGATCATCTATGGCATTTCATTTCTGAAGGTTTCTTTCTCTGTAGGTTTCTCACTACTTCACAGACCTTGATTAATCAGGGTTTATAATGCCCATATGCACAATACACAGAACTAATTTCATCCAATGCCCAGCTGGATCCTAAGTAGAATCTAAGTTAGGAAAAAAAAAAAAAGTTGAAATGTACCCAGAACATCAAGAAACATTGTTATGTTCTTACCAGAAATTATTTGTGCTGCCACAGTCATGGAATAGTTTTTTAATTTACTACACACTTTTATTTATCATGCAAATAGCTATTAAATTAATTCTGTTTCACCTCACTATGTCTTCTTCATATAGTCTCTCTTCAGTGCTACATCCTGAAATTAGTCAGTTCTAGAGTTCTGTCCATCTGAGAAATAGAAGGCTGTGTGTGCCTAGAGGAATTGTCTGGTGTGTAGTACTTTTATTGTAAAATTTTCTATATTATGGGTATTTGCTTTTCTTTCATCTTTAGAGTTTCATACCCAGTGTCTGAAAGACAATCTAGTAAGCAATTTATTTCCTCTTTATTAGACCACTCAAAAAGCACTAGTGATACATCAGTGAAGGAAAAAATAATAGAATAAATTGTAAAATAAAATTTAATGTACTTTTTAATATAGTTCATATTTTCATTTGGATCTATGTGTGTGTTATTTATTCTGTGGTATTCCATCTGGTTTTTTTTTTGTTGGAAAATACGTCTGTCTCTGCATAATCAGCAGATATGCTTCAGCTCAAAATGAATAATGAATTTTTCCTTTATTTATTTTATTCATATCTTCACATTAAACCTGTATCTCCAATTTCCATAAATATATATACTAGTCACTTCCCAATTGCTTCCTACCATCCTCATGTTCTTGGGAAATTGGATTTTCTGATTTGCTGAAACATGTAAACAGAATTACTCCGGTTTGTTCATGGGGATTAGACAAAACTCTCTGTCTACAGATTTCTGACATTGCTAAGACATCCTTTCACAGCCTGTATAGACTGGGGTTGGCAGTATTAACCAACACAGCTTATTTCTTTGAGTTTGCACAATTTGGAAGTTGCTTCAGTTAGGAGTTGGCTCTGTTGACTGCCATCCACTAGTTATAGTAGAGTGGAGAGGACTTTCTTATCTCAGCTGTCATGTGATGCTGCCAATTTTTGCTGTTGCTGGAGCCAGCATCTGAGTGAGTGACTATTCCTCCACTGCACCACAGCATGCTGGTTTAAAACCTAGATACTGATCTCACCTTGGAAGTGGTGAAAGTGGGTGGAGATAGGGTTCTGTCCCTCTTTCTGGTAGTTCTGTATGGGGTACTCTATATTCCTTCCAGGTCTGGCAGCAAAGAGTCTGGCTTATCATCCTGCACTGTAACTATAGATTATAAATTCACTGTGCTCAGCACTGGTGAGGCCCCACCTCAAATCCTGTGTCCAGTTCTGGGCCCCTCACTGTAAGAAGGACAGTGAGCTCCCAGAGTGTGTCCAGAGAAGGGCAGTGGAAGTGGTGAAGGGCATGGAAATAAGTCCTGTGAGGAGTGGCTGAGGAAGCTGAGGTGCTTTATCCAGGAAAAAAAGAAGGCTAAAGAACAGCTCATCACTCTCTATAACATCCTGAAAGGAGGTTGTAGCAAGGTGGGTGTCTTATTCCAAGTAACAAGTGATAGTGATAGGACAACAGGAAATGGCCTCAAATTGCACCAGAGGAGGTTTAGATTGGATATGAGGAAAAATTGCTTCACTGAAAGTGTTATCAAGTGTTAATGGAATTGCCCAGGGAAGTGATGGACTCCCCATCCCTGGAGGTATTTAAAAGAAATGTAGATGTGGTGCTTGGGGTTTAGTAGAGGATTTGACAAAGCTGAGTTAAAGGGTGAATGATTTTAAAGATCTTTTCCAACCTAAAAAATTCTGGAATTTGACAATTCTATGATTCACTTAGACTTCTGGCAAATACAGAACTACTATGCAAAGTTATAAAATATAATCAGTTACTTAAATGCTAAAACAGATTTCCATGAAATTACCCTAAAACTTTAATGTTTATGAATTTCTTAGCTCCAGTAGCCTTACCATAAGTCAAATTTTTGTCAATATAGAATTTGTAGAAAAGGCTGTGAGAGAATCTAACAATGACATTGTTGTCCTTTTGAATTACGATTCCTAAAAACTGTGAAAACAGATGTTTTGTAGTCCACTTAGTGAGAGGAGATTTTAGCAAAAGTATCTCAGAGGTGTTGTCATCAAGGTAAAGCAATGACCTTGTTGTTTGTGCTGTGTTTGATGCACCCCTGGATTCTTTAGAATTTCTGCTTTTATTTTGTTGCAGAGCAAATTTGTGATGTCAGCATTTGGCATTGGAATGATACTTTCATTCTAAGAGTACTATATGCAAATATATTCAAACCATATGATAGATGAAAAGTCAATATTTCAATATGGTATTGATTTTATATACAACAGAGAACCTGACTCTTAAGTAGCTAAACTAATTTGTCTAGTAAAATCCTATTGGTATCAAGATTTTACCTCCTCTCCTGGGTGAAAATCTTTTCACTTTCAAGATCAAAACAGTTGAGCTAAAGAAAAGAAACCTATTCCTCTGTCAGAAATACCCAGTTTTCTTCCTAGAAAAGGTAGAAGTTTATTCTCTTTTATTGTCTAAGCTGTGTGAATATTTGACCATATGTATGAGAATGAAGAACAGTCTAAATATTATACAAAATAATTTCTCAATAATCTGCAATTAAAGATATCCTAAAGTCTCTGCTGATGATACCTTTCAGTTGTTCCACCACCTTTTTGTTTAAAGATTTTTCTATTTTGAGTGTTACTATTGCAGAGTCATTGCAATCAAAATAATTACTGCTATTTAAGAGGTCTTTTCTTGTCTGAATTGTAGTCTAGAATGTATTATATTCATGTTCTTGATAATAATGATTTTATATAACTGCCACCTATTTCCCTTTGTGTTGGTGATTTTTGTCCTTATTCTCATTCTCATTTTTATTGTTAGTATTCTATTATTCTATTAGCCTCATCATCATTATTATTAGAAATTAGCAGGGCACTTTATTGGATAAACAGAATCTAAGCAGTCCAGGAACTCCCGGATTAGGTTCTCAGTTTGTAATATAATAAAATATTGTGGCAACTCAGACTTGGCCAAGATTAGAAAATTTGTAGCTGAGCATAATTCAGACTGTTAAGCAAGTACAAATTTATGAAATCAGAATGAGAAAACTTTTAAACTCTATTTTTTACCATAGAAGTAAACAGCTTTACAGAATTCATACAGTGCTACAGGTCTAGCTTTTAACACAAATAGATCCAACATATAAAACATTACAACTTTATGAATATGCATCATAATATGCCCTGCACCACCTCCAAGAAACAGTATCAAATAAACTATATATTTTGTTCTTTCAAACCTAAGTATTAATGAATTTCCAGCTGTTTATTTTAAACTAGGATCAAAAAGATGTCTCTAAATTGAATGCAAATTTGGTTCATATGTCTTGTGGCTTAATAAAACTGGAAGGGAATTTAATACATCCAGTTGTAGTGTACATTATTGCTCCTCTGCTACACTTATATACAAATTGAATTTAAATTATGTCTTTTTTAGTCCAGTTAACAAAATTATTGCTTTCATGATGTTTGTTGAACTTGGTTCATTGCTTGTTGGTTCCACATAATGAACGAATCTTAACAGAATTATTTTCCATGGAATTACAACATTTTATTATAATCTAAAGGGTTAGTTCCAAAGAGTAAAGCTTCATAATTATGTTGATTTTTTTTGGTAGGATTTGTAGGATATTTAAATTTTGAAAGTGAAGCACATTATGTGTATGTTAAAATAAAGTGCTGGTTACATTTCAGATGAATTATTAGGTTCATTTCTTAAGCATTAATTTAAATGCATCCATAATTTTGATATTTGTAGTTCTGCTTTTATGTCTCATCAGGAGCTACAACTATTGAAAAGTATGATCTCAGAACAAACATATGGATTCAGGCTGGAGTAATGAATGGCAGGAGGCTTCAGTTTGGTGTTGCTGTCATCGATGACAAGCTGTTTGTCATTGGAGGCCGGGATGGTTTAAAGACGTTAAACACTGTTGAATGTTACAATCCAAAGACCAAGGCTTGGACTGTGTTACCACCTATGTCAACCCATAGACATGGCTTAGGTAAGAAAAATGTATTTTTAAACATGCCACATTTTTTTTGTTATGTTACTTTTAATGGAAAACTCAGTAGTTTTAAGCTCTGGTAGCATTCCGACCAGTAACAATAACTGGGCTTTGCAACATGATAAAAGGAACTATCCTGTCTCCACATGGTTTGCATCTTATTGGCCTCCAGTGGTGGGTGGTCACCCCTCCAATTTATGTCGACCAGAGACTTCACCATCACCCACCCAAAAATTCACCTCCTCCCCTTTGCGAGGGTGCACCTTGTGGGGTGCAAAACTTGGTCTAGCAAAGCACCCTACCACCTCACAAATGGGCAAATGTTTGACCCATTAACCATTAACACCTCAGACTTCTACAGACACGTGTGGGGATAAAAGTGTTAAAAGTGGGAGAATGCCAAAAGTGGGAGAATGGCAGACTTGCTTAAGTGATATTGCAGCCCTGGAATGCCAAGGCTTGGAGAATGACACTGTGGGAACCACATATATATGTTATGCCTGCTGCTCTATATCTATCTATCTATCAATCTATCTATCTATATCTATCTATCTATCTATCTATCTATCTACTATCTTGGTTTTGAGAAGTAAAATTTCTGTGTAGAGATAACATAGGTGTTTGGAGAGGCTTATGGATGTGTTTGAGCTCCCTGTTTTGGGACAGAGGTCATAAAAAGCCCAGACAAGATCCCAGCACATTGGTAAACTATGCATGCATGGGTGCTTGATAAATGGGTGCAAGCAGCAGCCCAGCCACCTGCTGGGATTGTGTTCCTGCCTGTGTGTCTCTGCCTGGGTGTTGCTTTGGCATCTTCTGGTTAGGAAGGTAATAAATAGGAAACAAATTTACTCTTTGCATTTCAGCAGTGGTTTTGTGGTTATTCTGGCTGCCTGCCTGTGCTGACTCATGCAACACACGATGTTATCCTGTCCATTCCCCTGAGCTGCAATCAGCAAGTCCTTTGTTGTACTATTGCATCAATATCTCACAAAATGACCATGCTTTCCTTCCCTTCACTCATGCCATTGGACACTTGCAATATGCATATGTACTGTTGCTGTTAAACAAGTCTTACAATAGAAAATAGCAATGGGAATCTATATCAGATGGCATCATGGCACTGGATATCTCACTGATTTAAAAGTGCTTCCTAAGTTTAAATTTAATTATAAATTAGAAAATACATGAGAAAATACATGAATTACATGCAAAAATATGTCATGTCTTTTCTGCCAATGCTCAAGAATTTTACAGAATCAGTGCTGTTTCCCAGGGTGGTAAAAATGCAATGGCTTCAGTTATAACTACAGGAGACTAGTAATACAACATTAGGGTATACTAAACAGAGAAAATATTTGTCTCAGCAACAAAAGAGGTGAATCTATGATTGAAAACCCTTGGCAATCAGTTAAAAAAATAATTTTGGACTATAATTTTACAGATTATTTTGGTCAACAGATTTAAAAAAATACTATTGCAGTTTAAGTTGAGGAATGTTGAGATTATGATTAGGGAAAAACTGGTATGCTTTCTATGCTAGGAAAAAAAGAAACAAACTAGGCATTTGACCATTTGAGGGGTTTTTTTAACTATAACATAATTTTTGAATTTTTATATCAAAGTAATTCAGGCTTTTTGTAAACAACAACATGTAAAGTGAGAAAAGAAGTCTAAATTGGGATGATTAAATGCAGTTGTTTGGGAGGCATTAGGAAGGTGTTCTTTATCTGGAATTATTTCCTAATCACATTATTGCCTGAGAAGCTTAGTTAATAGAATTTAATTGTTTTTTTAATTTTATTTTTTTCTAATAGCCCATAAAGTTATTTCAGTAAATGCCTTTTGTAATGAAAGTTAATCTGAAGTAATACATAATTTTAAAAATTTGTTTGTTTTCTAAACTATGTTATGTTACATCCATGTAGTAATGATGCTACAGCAGTTTGAATTGGATTTTGTATACAGGATGGAAGAAAGAACCCATCTTTTACATGGATGTATTTTTGTTGACTTAGCAAAAGAGTTGTCAGATGTACTCCATTGTAATTAAGGGCACAAACAGATGATATAATTCACTTTGTCCTGTATTCATATAATCTTCAATAGAAGCATGTGTATAGAAGCTGATACATGTAGAAATGAGGAAATAAAAGTTGACAGGTCTTGTAGTGAAAGTACATAGTGTAGGAAGTCATATGTTAGGCAGTTTCAAAGCTGCCAATTGAAAATGATTGAAAGCTCTTTTAATGGCATTGTTTGAAATAAGTGATGCTAAAGTACAAAAAATAAAGGGCAGACTGTGAGATCCAAAACTATTATTTAAAGTAATAGTGATTCTAACATCCCTGTTGAGTAGTCCATAAAACAGAATGGAGTATGAAAGAGCAATAAGACACCAAAAAGGTGATGAAAGGCAAAAAATGAAATATGGGAAAGGTGAAACTTGGCAAACAGGAAGACCAAATCAAAATCCCTATAGAAAAGGAAGAAAGAGACTGAAAGGACAAAGACGTGAAAAATATAAAACAGATTCTGCTTTATTAATTCAGCAGTTTTATGAAGCAACACTGTATCCACTTTTTCAGTTTCTGTGCTGAACTTAATAGTCTACGTGGAAGAGTAGAGAGAAAGGAAATATGGAACCAATGCTAGACTAATTAGAATTTTAGATATCAATTCCAGTGAAACAGTGATTGAAACAAAAACCAGAACAAAAACAAACAAAAAAAAAAGAAAAAAAAGAAAAAAAACCCCAAAAAACAGAAAACATAGGTATTTGGCTTGTCTTTAAAAAAGAAATTATTTAAGAGCCCTAGTGAGAAAATTAGACTTCCAATATAATTCTCCCCTAATTATATTTTTTCAGGTAAGTGTATTAAATTGTCCTTTCTATGAACTATGTAAAGTGTGTCTCAGCTTCTATTTTAGGTTTTGGCTTTGAAAATATACTCTCTGATCTCACAATCCATAGTCAAACACCTCTTTGCAAGATGATCAGCATGGGAAAGAGGCTGGCCAGCTTGTAAAATCCTATGTTGCTTAGAGTGGAGACAAGCCACATATTTTTCTTCCTCGCCTCTTGGAAGAGAGAATCTTGCTGGTTCTTCATCTGAGTGAAAATGCTATAAAAATATTAATAGATGATGGGAAGGCCTTAGATTTGTTTACATAGGATATAGGCCTAAGGTGGATAGAATTCACTCTACCCAGAGTGAATGGTTGTAGAAGACCTAAAGAATTTCCAATTCTCAGTTTATACAGTGGATTAGACTTTAACCTATTGTTCTGAAGAAACTGAATATGTAATGTAAATGGATCTTAAAGTACCTGAGAGTCATGCCTGAATTTAGAGTGAATACTTTCTTATAATGTGGTTATCATGAAACTGGTACGTGCAGGAATGAATATCTAAAATATTAGGTTCAAAACCCAGAAGTGGAAAGAGAATACATGTAGTTAGGTAGTAACAAGACAAAATATCCCAGGATATCTCAGATGTTGCTGACAAAATATCAAATTGCACTATGGGTTTGCACAAAGGCCAATTTCTATATTTCACTAAAAGGGAAATATACCCAATGTGCTTCTTAGACCCAGCTTGATTCTCAACTTTCACACTTTCTGCTCTAGAGTCCAACTCATGAGTCAGAGAGAAGGAAAAAACTTTACTTGGGAAAAATACAGGGATTCCTCTGTATCTTTCAAGTAGTAATGAGAAATGCTAATAGAGGGAAAGATTGTGGAGAAACTGAATTATCAGTATTCTTACTACATAGTAAATCTCAGAAGTAAAATATGTGTATAAATATAGGTAATAAAAATATTAAAAAATATAAAAATCTAGACATATACATTACTTATCAGCCTGTATATTTTTTAAATCACTAAATGATAATTTAGAAAATATTCTATCTTCTTTTAAAAGTATTCAAGTGTTGACCACTTCTTTTATTTAAAATTAGTGAAATGCTTTCCATGTTTGCATTTGCAACAAAAGGAATTATTGTTCATCAAATAATTTTGCACTGTGTGAAAGTTTATAGCATAAATACAACTCCACAGTTTTAGAGATCTAAGAATTTGTGTAGGATTCAGCAGCCTAAATAGGTATACGTACAATGGAGTGCAGCAACTGTGGTGGCATAATCTGATTTCCGTGGGAATAAGAAGTGTAGCATGTTTAGAATTAAATTATTTGTGGCTTGGGAACAGTTCCTGCTTCTCAAGGTACAACAAATACTATTGAGTAGACTGGAAACTGAGAATCTGAAAAAATAACTTAGATTCCTGTTGCACTGGAACTTTTAAAAAGTCAAAGATGTTTTATTGGGTATTTATGCCTGTATGTTTGTATATGATTTGAGAGATGTCAAAAATATTGATTCTTGCGAAACCATTGAAGATACAGATTGAAACAAAAAAAATACAGTAAATTTTTATGAACTCTTCTATTTAAATAAAGCTAGCATAGTAATGAAGTACATAATGTCTTAAAGGGCTAGCAGTAGCAATGTAGCATCAATGGAACTGCTTACTTAAATTACAGTTTAGTAATTTCTGGTGTAATTATTCCTTCATAAAGCAGTAAGTTGAAAAATATATAACATTTCTCTATATAAATGTTGTCATGAAGCAGATATTTTTAATCCCATTGCTCTCCCTTGGTGAAGTAAATAATTTTTGACAATAAATTTCTAAAATTTCAATAATTTTTTAAAATAAGCCTGCAGAGCAATATCAGAAAAAGTATCAGATACTAGAAACGTTAATAGATCCATAATAGCAAAAAGAGTATTGAATTGCACTGAAACAAGTGAAGGAGAAACAAATAGGTAACACATATTTGATACTATAAATTTATAATGAACAGGCCATTGCAATAAAATTATATGTATTAAAGACACATTTTACAAGAAGAATATGGAAAGTAATCACCTCTAATTTATTTTGTACCAAATATTTTGTTAGGAAACAAAGCCTTTGAAGAATGAGTG